ACACACACACACTCAGACACTCACACACACACATACACACACACTCAGACACACACATACACTCAGACACACACACACACACACACACACACACACACACAGAGACACAGATGATGGAGATTTGAACGTGTGAGCCATTTCTCCTCCTCCTTCCTGTCCAAGTACATGTCCAAGAGCCTTTAATCTACACGTTTCAGTGTGAGAGAAATGGATTTCGCATGATTGCAGGTCTTGTGCAGACGCAGACAGACGCTGCTGTGTGTGGCGAGGACGTAGGAGGGAAATAAAACATCCAATGGCTCTGAATCGCATTTGCCACTTCATTAGGGCCTCGAGAAAGACGCGCTATTAAGTTACATTTCCTTCTTCGGTGACTGGGAGCGCCAAATATGTTTCTGATTTCCCCCCAGTTATGATGATGGTCTGTAAATTTATGAGACAGCTGAGTTGGGGTAATTGTAATTAATGAAAAATATAGTTGAATATATATATTGAAACAGCATGTGGCGGAAGGTTGGAGTTGGATGTCTTGGATAAAGAAGAAATAAATATGTTGGAGGTCTTTGAATGCTGATATTTGTGGGCTCTAGTAAAAGCGTCCTTCCTCAATTCATTTTAGGTCACTGAGATTCATCCGTATTTACACGCTGTAGGACTAATGCTCTTGGCAAAATCGCCGAAGACACAAATCTCGTGCCCGTGACTAAATGAGTAAATTAACTAGGCGTCTGTCGAAACGACAAAAAAGACGTGGAAGCTACATAAAAGTCCTGACTATTTAATTACACAGAGGAAAATGCAATAAATAGAATGGCTCCCTTTTCTGTTCTTTCAAAGCCTTTTGCATGTTGAAGTAATCTTGATTCATTTGCCACATCTGAATTCGTTTTGCCCAGTATGGCGACCATCTGCCTTCACCAGTCAAAGCAAAAGCTTTATCTTTCATCCGACAGAGGGGGCGAAAACAGAAGGAAATTTTACGCCGGGATGTGTTTATTGAAGAAAAGGGCCCTGCTTTTGCTTTGGTGACACTTTGGAACATTTAGTTTCATGTCGCTCTGAGACAGAATTAAGATTTATATTAGCTCTGATTAAAGGAGAGCTTCGCTGAAAAATGACAATTCGGCCTTCGTTTATTCACCTTCATGTCCTTCCAAACCCGAATGCTGTTGTTATTCTTGTGGGGACCCAAATAAGAAATTTTGAAAAATATCCTGGGCGCTCTTTGAAGCCATTTGGGACATATGATGTCAAACTCCAAAATGATTAAAGGTAGTCTGTATGATTTTGAGTCTTCTGAAGCCTTACGACAAGACTAAAGTCTTTCCATTGCCCTAGCTCTGAAGTCTCACTCTGCCTATTCACACAGGATCTTTGTTGAGATTTGAGAGCTATTTTTTTTATACGTTATTTTTTCTATAAGTTACACTCTAAAAAATGCTGGGTTGTTTCAACCCAACTTTGGGACAAATATGGACTAACCCAACCGTTGGGTTAAATTTTTACATTCAATTTTTAACCCAAAAGTTGGGTTAGTCCATATTTGACCCAAAATTGGGTTGAAACAACCCAGCATTTTTTAGTGTGTATATACTACAATATATGCTGCAAATATTTGGTATTATTGGTAAATTGTTTACTCAATTTATACTGAAAAGCATATGTATTTTATATTATTATTATCATTGTATTATTATTATTTTAGATAATAATGTCATATATTTTATAAATATTTGGAATTCTCTATATTATAGATTTTTGTGAATTATGAGTGTAAATTGTGTATACAATTTACACAAAGTTCATGAAAAATATATTTTTATTTTGGGAATTGAGTATACTTAATTTATACCGAAAAGTACAAATATTTAATATTATTATTATTATATTGTTTTAAATAATATTATTAATATATTTATAGTTTTAGATATGTTGTGTATGAAGTGTAAACTGTATAATCAATTAACACTGGAAATTCACAAAATATAAATATTTGATATTATTGTTATTTATTTTTGTGAATTGTGAGTGTAAATTTTATGTGCAATTTATACAGAAAATTCATAAAACAATTTACATATTTGATATTATTTTGTGAATTATGAGTAAGTTGTATAATCAGTTTATATCAAAGTATAAATATTTGATATGTTGTTTGTTTTAAATAA